ACATGCTGTGCTAAGCGTGCCTGATCTGTACAGTCCATCACTTGCTGAAGTGTGGTCTGATCAAGACACGTTGTTAGTTTCTGCGCTGACCGAAGATTTTAGTTCCAGGCTCTTGGGAATGATGCCACTTTGTCGACATCTGAGGTTGAATCGCAAATGGTTCCTGTAGTCTGCCCTCTTCCTTGCTGTTTTCTCAAACTCTCTAACTAGTTTGAGGCAATCCTGGCCAAAGTGGTTAAAAATATCCTGATGCATGCTCAATAATCCAGGTAGAAAAATCTAAAAAAGTTAAATCTGGTCCTCTGGACATTCAAAAAAAAAACAAAAAAACAAAGCAAATCAACAACAAAATGTAGAAACGTTTCGTCTCTCATCCGAGAGACTTCCTCAGTCTGAGGAGCTGTATTCAGCTCAGTCTCTTAAATAGCACCGTCTCCGAGGAAGTCTCTCGGATGAGAGACGAAACGTTTCTACATTTTGTTGTTGATTTGCTTTGTTTTGTTTTTTTTGAATGTCCAGAGGACCAGATTTAACTTTTTTAGATTTACCTATAGTAGCTCTTTGAATAACCTTGATTTGAAGTTTTTTTTTTTTTTTTTTAACAAATTGATGAGAAAAAATAGTTCTGCCAGAATACTCTATTTCAAAACTGATGACTCAAGCTAGCTATTAGCTCATTATTCTAGTCAGAATGAAAAAAAAAAAAAAAACTTTTCTTCAAACGGAGGTCGTTCAGAGTTTATCTGCAACAGGTAAGATATCATTTGTTCATGTTTCTACTGAACCCCACTTCAAAAGATTTGAACTACCGCTTTAAGTCATAACTTAAATCAGAAAATTCTTGTTTAAACCTACAAATGGGCAACTTTATGCTTTAAGATCAGAAAGATTGTGACTGAAAAAATGCATAAAATCAAAACTCTGAATATATTAGCTGGATTTTTATTTCCACTAATCTTTTTCTCCCCGATTGTCCGCATTAAAAAGTTACACAGAATGACAGAAACTTTGAGGGCACCAGCGATAAAACTGTGACTGAGAGATGAAGATGGATCAAAGGTCAGCGTAGCTCGTCCATTACTGACTTTCATGATTAAAGTGTTTTAAATTAAATTTCTCTGCTACTCAATTTCGGAATTCCAATCTTCCATTAAACACCGTGGGTTGAAAGGATTGGAAGAGGATTCAAATGGCCAGAGCCCTGAAGCAGGCTGCACTCTACATAGACCATCATTTTTAGCAGATTAGGATCGTCCTTGCATCACTTTGGTTCCTCTACTGTCCGCTGTAACACCTTTATCTCCATCACTGAACCAAGAGCAAACAAGGAAGCACATACCACTCCACATGGATGATGCTTTGCTCCCTGAACCAGAAATAGACTGTGGAAGCACATTCTCCTTCAATATAAAGTGTTAGAATGAAGGTACGCACGCTGTTTTAACAAGCTTTAATATTCTCTCAGCTAAACCGATTTAAAAAAAATGTAAAAAACATGTATATTACCAGGGGATGATGCTTCTACAACCATGGCAAAACATTTACTGTGATTTGATGGAAGTGGCCAAGTAGTGTCCTTTAAAGGGAATATTCAGCTCCTTTGAGATGAAGTTATGTAGAACGTGTTTGAGAAATAAACATCTTACCTGTTGTAAGTGCCACCAAGTTGAAGCCCAGAGCCACCCCTAGAACCCCCCTGGCCCTGTGCTGTCATATAAAGAGCCATCTGCAACATATAAGATATTTACTGTTCATATTCTGTCTACAGAACCACACGTGAAAAGGTCTGTGCTAATGCTTCAAGATGAATACTTGGGACAGTTTACTAGCATCAGATATCCATCAGGAAGGCTTGATATCCTTGTAGCTACTGCTCAGACAGCTGACTGGTTCTGTTTGGTGGTTCTGGAGGACAAAGACAAGTGCAGGACACTACATTCATTATATTAATGGGGAGTGGTGGTGCAGAGGTTAGAGAGGGTGGGCCTGTGATCAGAGGGCCGCAAGTCAACTCCCCAGACAGACAACATCAAAACATGGGTGGAAAAAGGTGAAACGCCCACACCTGCCTCCACCCTCATTTGCCCCACTCTGGGCCCATGAGCAAGGCTCTCAGCCCCCCCAGGTGCCTTAGATGACAGCTCACTGCTTCACGTGTAATGGGAAAAATGCAGCTGGGTTAGAGAACAAGATAAATAAATAAATGATGCATTTTTCACAAACAGGACAAAAATTGTGACATTTGGTTGAGTTTTATATTCATCATATTTGTAATATTTCATTAGTGCAAAATCAAAAAAAAAAAAAGGCAGGAGTTAAAAAAAAATCTGACTAGGGTTAATCTCACTTCACGGGGAGGAACCTGCTGCAGTGAGGCAGGAGCTGGCTGGACAATGAGCAGCATGTTCACCTGCACCCTGCCAGCCACTCAGCTCAACTCTTAAGCCCCAACGTCAACGTCCCAATCCAATCTCAGGACATTTGCGTCACTTTCACCACAAATACAGGAAGCGTACAGCTAAACTAAAAGTTACCGTGACCTGCAGTTTCATTTACAGCCACAGAATCCAAACACAGCTTCAGATGAAATGTTTATTTTGCGTTTCTTTGCTCCTGCAGCTGAATAGAAGTAAAGCTCTAATGATGCCAGCGCCCGACTTGCTTCAGAGGTATCGGAGCCAGAAGAGCGAAGAGATCAATGTACCGCTTCAGAACATCCAGTCCCTCGTCACCTATCAAAAGGCCGCCGGTCCACAGAAGGTCAAGCTCCAGCAGAGCCTCATCTCGCAGATGGAAAGACGGCAGCTGCCAGTGAAACAGCAACGCTCTGCCAAGAAGACCCCCCAAAGCTGATGATGTCCTTCAGTAGGATTTTCTCATTTAGGACAGAGGCATCTCTTGAATCTGAATTTAACAACTAAGTGCTTTTTAGAAATAAAGCCAAATAACATTATTAACCTCTTTTTAATTGGAATGTCCATAAATAGAAGACCTCTGCACAATATTTTACATGGGACATACTGAAGCACATATTACACTGATGATGCCCGAGTACTTTAGTCACTCTACGAGGACTTGACATTCATTATGTACAGAGTAGAACTCCTTTAGTCTATCAATATTATTCTGTTCGAGTAAATGCAGACTAGTTTTAATCAATCTTGTTATAAATGGAAAAAAGGTATAAAACAAAACATTTCATTGTAACAAATGTGCAGCAGAATAAAACACTACAAGGAGGTTGTGAATTAACAGTTTTAAAGAAAACAGTTGTGTTGATTTGATTAGATGGGAAAACCTGTTGGACCTGAGTCGCCTGTCGTCACTGAGTTACACTGAATATGTCACAGAGACTCTGACATGTTCAAAAAAAAAAAAAAAAAAAAAAAAGAATAAAGCATTTTGCAGCATTTACTTTATGCCATCCTTCCAAACCCAAGAAGAGAATTTCGGCATATACAGGTTTTCCTTACTGGGTATGAACTTCCAGCCCGACGAGCAGTTGTTTAACAGGTCGATCTGTGGTGCTAACGCATCCTTATCAGAGAGGTTTCACTCTTTTTTTAATGTAAAAGTGAAAATCCTTCTGGGTTTTTATTTTTAGCCAAGACACCCAACACCATCTTTAATTTTTCCCAAACAAAATCAACTCAGTACCCAAAAAGTGACTCCTCACTCTCCCTGGCGGTCATGCGTACCCAAACCTTTATCGAAATAAAAATCTTTGGACTTGTGCGAGATTTGATTTTAATGTCCATCCAGCACTCCTGGCCCTGCAGGCAGCAGAGGTGCAGATTTATCTGGTCTTCTCGCTGCTTCGCGGCTCCAGGTCGTGGCTGAAGCTGCGGCTTCATGTTGCTACGGAGAGCGTCCTCGCTCGCATCCATTCAGCAAACATTACTTATTCACAGACAGCAGCAGGTTAATCTGAAAGAGAGGCGTGAAAAATGATGAGCGCTCTCGCTGTGCCTGTGCTGATACACGTTATTTAATGTTAATTTTCCTGAAGTTTGCTTGCAGCAGTTTTTGGATGCTGTCCCCATATTATTTAAACTACCCCAAGCCCCTGAAGGCTGTGCTAATCCCACAGTGCTGCACCTGCTCCATAGATGGACATGCGATGATTTGAAGGTCTTCTCCACTGTACTCCTCCTGAAGCAAGACGTGAAGTCTTTGAAATACCTGCTGGATGTTATTCTGCAGAAAAAAAAGAGGATGAAAAAAAAAAGCCATGTTATTACAGAGTGCTGGAGGAAAATTAAACCACATTTCCATCTGGCCCCATGTCCCCTTACTATCCTGTTTCCATGTCAACCACTGAATTTTGTCTCTCCCTCATTCAGCCTCACCTGGCACCTTGATGAATAGTACACAGGAAGCACAAATATTTCTCTATTAGAGTTTGAATCACACCGGTAATTTTTTGGACTATAAGGCACGGTCTCCATGCCACGTTTAATCAAAATAGTCATCGCAAAAGCAGATTTTAGACAGAATTGTCGACTGAATCTCCAAAATTCGTCATTGAGCTTCTTACTTTCACGTCTGATTTCTGAAAGTGACTTTTGATAAGAGGCTGGTTTATATGACAGCAAACTATATAATTAAAAAGAGAATAAAGTAATAAAAGTTCAGATTTAATTTGATACTTATAAATAATATTAAGTCACTTAAAAATAATGTTAAAGGCAGAGCCTTTCTTGAAAGAATAAACGTTTCATGCCAGTTTAGAATAGAGATGCACCGATCCAATATTAGTTTATGTATCAGTACTGATATCAAAAATGTTCTTGATTGAGTATCAGTGACGATATGACCGATCCATAAGGACAGGAGCTTATTGCTGTTTATTTTCAACATCTGCCAACCAAGTTAGATAAGCTATTGTTGTTTCCTCTTATTTCAGCTCCTTCATTATTTATTTTACATTATATTTAGAATTCCTGAACCATTTGAAAGGTTTGTTGAAATGTGTTTTTTCATGTTTGACCAAAGTTGTCAATCTATTGTTTTTGTCAGTTTCAGTATCTTTATTATTTATTTTACATTGGATGTTCAATTCAATTCAGTTTATTTCTATAGCACCAAGTCACAACAGAAGTCATCTCAGGGCGCTGAACAGAAACATTCATATATAAAAATAATAATTTAACATTATTTATCAGAGGAGCAGACTGATTTGAATTTAACTTCATCGTAGACTCTCATCTTGTGCAAGCATGAAGGCGACAGTGGAAAGGAAAAACTCCCTCATGAGGAAGAAACGTTTAGCAGAACCAGGCTCAGGACAAGCGGTCATCTGCTTCGACTGGCTGGGTTTGGTAGGAACGGATACACAATGGCAGGTCAAGGATGTCATACTCATAATTGCACTGACTGAACAAATTAAAGTTGTGTTGTTTTTATATGTTTGACCAAGCTTGTGAAATTATTGGTGTTTAAGTGTGCTACTGGTGCAGTTTTCAATAAATGTGTAATTCAGTACATATATGTCTGCGTTTAAAGAACAAATGCTTTAAGTTAATTCAGCAAAGTTTTTCTGTATCAGTTCCGTATCAGATCAATATCGCCCGATATTAAACCCCCCAGATATCGGTATCGGAAGTGAAAAACGTGGATTGGTGCATCCTTAGTTTAGGACTAAGATCTAAAACAAAACAAAACAAAAAAAAATCTTGAAAATAACATTATGTATACCGTACTTTTGGCTGTATAAGTTGCGCCTTTTTGCATAAATTAGCATGCCCTGCAACTTATACAGTGAAGCGACTTATTTATGTCTTTTTTCTTATATTTATAATCCAATTTTGGCTGAGATTTGACAATTCATTCTGACATGAAAAAAAATTTAACACTATTTTCAGCCACTAGAGAGCAGTCAAGTGTTATGGCAAGCCACGTGTCTCATTAATAGGTAAAAGTGTCTATTAATGAGACACTTAGCTTGCCATACAAGCCACCTCAGTCTCGCTCCGGCAGCGAAATGCAGCTGATTTGACCATTAAAGTGCATTTTTCAAGAAGAAGTTCAACTGAGACACACCTTTATTATAATGTTGAGCAATCAAATAATTGTTTTTAAGTGTTAATTTTGTTAAATTCCTGTTAAAGTCCTCCCGTGCATGCTCCTGCAACCGCCATTTGGCAGCCAATCGATTTTTGACACAACACCAGCCCACGTTTCTGGGTGGTCAGCGGTAACGAATAACAAACGCGATGCGTCAGTGATGACACATAATAGATGAGACTTATATGGTGAAGTGACGCATTTGCTTTTTCCCCCACTTTATTAGACAAATTTGGACTAATGCGACTTATACAGCAGTACGACATGTATGGCAGAAAGTACGGTAATCTCGTGCAGTATTGTGATATTTCACATGATTTATTAGCACTTAGAAATTGTTTTGTGAATGACTATCAGACAAAACCACATTCTGGCTAAATATTTGTAAAACTTTTACTGAGTCGTAGCCATTTTGGTGTTTTCTAAGGTCAGTTGGCTGTGATAACCAACTTGATTTGGGTGAAGTTAATCAGTTGTAAATGTGAACCCACTTTCTTAAAGTTCTAATAAACTCTAATCAGAGGTTCATGAGAAATTTTGCTACCTGTACAAACAAACGCACGGATGTGCCCACACGCACAGGCAAAATCATTACTGCCGTCGGCCGTGGGTGATAAAATGTAACAAAAACTGATTAGATCCAGAAGTGCATAAATATGTTTCTCCAAGTACTGTTATATCTGAAAGGGTTCTTTTAAAAGAATTAAAAGAAACTGAGTCATTTAGTTCATGTTATACTGAAGTTTTTGTGCCACCCACCCGGACAGGCTTGAAAAGGATGAACTCTGTGTCTCTATTGGCCAAGTACAAGGACATGCTCTGTAAAGTGCTGGGCAGCTTGCTCTTTATCACCCTGTAGGTGGCCATCACTATATCGTTGATCTTGGCTGAAAGAGAGATGGGCAAGAAAGAAAAAATTACAGTACAGACTGAAAAAAGAACAAGACAAAGAAAAACATCGACGTGCCCTCTAGCATTTCCTACACAGGTTTTGATGGATTGCCGTTTGATGCCCGTGGCGTTTCGTAAAACAAATCTTACCTGGCTGTGCCCAAGGTTGCTGAGGCAGGCTGTATGTGGGACCACCTTGCACTACCGTGGTTTTAAGAGCTGCAACCTGAGTGCAGCCAAAACAAAACGTTACAACGGAGCTAAAAGCTGTGCAGTCGGTCATGTAATGTATTTCTGTGTCGAATGTGAAATGGATGCATGTTCATATAATGTAACAGGAGAAAACTGGTTATTAGAAGGGGAAAAAAATGCAAGTAAATAAAACTTAAAACAGCAAAATGTATGTATAAAACATTGCTGACTTTAATGAAATAACCATGATTAAAAAAAAATAGCTATTTTTTTTCTCTAAACAGTTAAACACTAAGACCTTCAGCAATAAATTAATAGGCAAATGATTTTCAAACAAACGTTTTCAAATGCTGAAAAAGAATAAAATAAAGATATGAAGGTCAGGAGGAGTCGCTTACGCCTGAGGCTAAGTCTGCCTTTGCTCCAGTTACCTTGGTGAGAAACTCCTCAAGGTTCCCCACAAAGATCTGAGTCTGCTGCTGGATAAACTGCTCACAGCTGAACTTCAGGTGTCGGTCCACATCTTTCTTTGAGTCAATGTAGTGCTCCTTTATCTCTGGTGTTCCCTGGGGGGTCATAGAGGAAAAAGGTTTTAGCACATATCAAGTGGTGGTTCCCTTAGGCAGGGTGCTATCAAAGTACATGAAGTGAATGATATGTTTAATATAAAAGGTGAAAGAGGGGGAAGAAATATACCTCCAACAGGAATTCAAGTATGGCATTGTGACTATTGAGTCGGAAGAATTTGGGAACAGCCTTAGGGTTCAGGATTTTGAAGGCAGCATCTTGAACACAAAGCAGACAGATTAAATCTTGGGCTGGTGTAGAATAACAGTGCCATCTAGTGCCACAAATTTAAACATGTCATTAACAAAGATAGGGGTGACAGCGAGGAGCCACTTTGCCCCGAGAGGCATCGGTTAATGTATATTATGGTGTTGGATTACAATCTCCACATTAATTGTTGCCACCGGTGCATGTGATAGGCACAAGTTGCTTAATGAGCATGAAAATGTAATGATTGGCTTTATGGAGCTGAACACCAATGTTCTTCCTCCGCCTTTAATTATCTTACCTCGTGTTTTTTTCAGGTCCAGTGAGATTTCCTTGATGGCAAAATCAGTGTGAAATGGGGCAATCTGTTCACGCATTATCAGCAGGTGCTTGATCAGGAAAAGTTGCCCGTCTATTTGTGTCTGTGGACAAGTGAAAGCATGCTGTTACATCCACACTGCAGGCTGCCAACACAAAAAAAGGGCATCTGCTGACTATCCAAACTACAGAGAGCATAAAAAAGCACAGGCTCAGTGATAAGGAAATGTGTTTAATTAATAACTGCTGATTAACCATAGCCCGAAAGGGAATATCACTGTGACAAATAAGGGAGTTGAAATCATGTATTACTCAGCTAGAAACTAAAAGACTGGAAAACGATGTTTTTGGATGTAGGGTGAGAACAGATCCTGAGATTAATGCTGCCATTTTAATCTCAGGGGAGGTGTACGGCTGAAATGCTCCTTAGCAGCGGATATTTACAGGAAATATCCAAGTGAGAAAAAGACCATGAATAAAAGATAGATTTGCTGAACTTTCTGTAGGGAAAAATATGGTTCTGTTACATCAAATGGGGAACACTAAAACTAAATACTAACGCAAGAAAGGACTCGTTTAAAGATCTTAGTTCCTTTTTTTTTTTTAAAGAACCGACTTAAATTAACATCTCTATTGGTTTACAAATGCCTAAGCAGTCCTAATTAAAATATCTGAGGAGTAAAAGATGATTTGATCTCTCGAAAGCATTCAGACAGAGCTAACACATTTAATATTTTAAGAAGGATTACTTTTTTATTACATCTTTTGCAGTTCAAAATTGAAATGTGGGAACCGCACAGGTCAAAAGAAGATGGGCTCACAGTTAAAAAGATGCCAAGAGGGGCCTGTGGCTGCACATTTTTAGGGACTTTTAATAATTGAATCTTAATGGTTTAGTGGAAATCAATGTCAAAGCTCAATTTTTATATGGAGCTAATTTCATTTCCCATTTCTTAATATTATACAAACAAAACCGCACAAACCTTTATGCTCTATAAAGCCTTATCTTGAAACTTTGACTAGGGGTGCTTAAACGTACCACCACCATAAAAGCAGCTTTTTATCATACAGAAAACCTGAAATACAAAGCCACATTGTGTTCAAGCTCAACAGTGTGTGAAAACCTTGTTTTTAAGGATGATATCAGAGGCTTTAAGCAGCGACTGAATGCAGGCAGATAAGGTTTCTTGAGATAAACCCTGGAATACCGCTTTCTAGAAAAAGACAAAAACTTGGGGTAAGAAAATAATAATATATGCAAAAGTGTTGTAATTAAACACTGCAGTAGGGTACATGAGCTCCTCGTATAAGATGAAAGTCTTACATCTATACATCTGTAGAGCTTGGAGAGACAGACCAGTGTTCGCCTGACGGTTGGGTACCACATGCCGTGCAGATCGGCAGGAGACACAGATGTGTGGAGACGAGACGCTTCGATGCTGCCTGTTTCATCGTACAAATAAAAAAACATTAGACAAGTTCTAACAATAAGTAATGTTTGTTTTTTTTAAAGCTGCATTATGACATGAGGAAACAGACCAGCGTTACTGTTTCTTCTATCAGCATCTTCAAGCTGAACATCTGAAAACGTGGGCTCTTGTGACTTCTGCTTCATCTGTTCTTCCTTCAAACTCTGAGCGATTTTCTATTGATGACAAGACAGAATATTAATTAGAGAAATTATATTTCCTGCAAAAATGCAATGTGAATGCTTAATGCTGAAGAATTTGCTAAAAAAACAGCTGAAATTAGCTGAAAACAGTGAAATGTAGCTGAAATGGAAGAACAAGTCTAAGTTAGCAGAAGAAGGCAGGAAGAACATGTTTGCTAAATCAGATTTAAATAAGCAAAAATTATCACAAAAAAGCTGAAATTAGCAACAAAAAAAAGCTGAAGAGTAGCTGACAAGGCAGAAAGAAGCTTAGAGTACCAGGAGGAAGTGGAAGGCGCTAAAATTAGCTAAAAAAAAGTTGAATTAGTTGAAAAAACTAAATTTAGCACAAAACAGCTAAAATGTAGTGGAAATAGCAGAAAAAGCTGAAACTAGCAGAAAAAAGCTGAGGAGCTGAAATTAGCAGAAAGAAATTAATTAGGCTGAAAGTAGCCGAAATTATTAAAAATAATACAAATTTATCTGAAAACAGCTGAAATTAGCTGATAAATTCTAATAATAAAACAAGGTAGCTGAAAATGTAGAACAAGCTTAAATTAGCAGAAGCAGATAGAACATGTTTACCCAGTTAGACTGAAAGCAGAAATGAGCAGTAAAAAGTCCATATTATCTGAAAAAAGCTGAAATTAGCAAAAAGTTTCTAGAAGCTTAAATTACTAGAAGGAAGCAGAGAGAGCACATTTTTGCTGAATTTAGCTGAAAAAAGTTTAAATGAGTGCAAAAAAAAGTGGAATTTCTAGAAAAGGCTAAAATTAGCATTAAAACAACTAAATAGTAGCTGAAAGGAGCAAAACAAGCAGACATTAAAAGAAATAAGTTAGAAGCACAAAAATGCTGTAGTTATCAGAAAAAATCTAAAAGAAGCACAAAATAGCTGGGAAAAAAAAACAGCTGAAAGTAGCTGAAAAAATATAAATTGCACAAGGAAGCTGAACCAGAACAAAATATGAAAGGAGCAGTAAAAGGTTGTAAACAGATCTAAAGATGTGAAGGAGGTAAAAAGAGCTCAATTCATTTCCTATGAGGAAAAAAGTGGCAGAAAAGGCTAAATATTTCAAAAAGATAAAGTTGCACCTATACCAAGTCATAGTATCCTTCTCCTGAATGAGCTGAACGTTTTGATATGATTTGTTGAAACAGCACAAAAATTGTGGATTGAGAAAATGCCAAAAAACGAAAGGAAGAAAAATGGATCACAATAGTGTGAATGCTTCATAAACATTCACACTATTGTGATCACAAAGCTGAGACATTAAAACATGAGCAGATATTCACAAGAACAAAGACAAGGTCTTTAATTTACAGTAAAAGCTTGAAAGCAATGCAACATTTTACAAAAAGATTAAGAAGTGTAAGAAGTTGTAAGTCCTTTTGTTCCATCGGCTACAGAAGTGTGCAGGTCTTTGAAAGCTTGACATAAAATAAAAAAACTCTTCTAAAAGACAAAGAAATCAAAAGAAAAAGTCAATTATGTAAAGTCTACAAGAGAATACGCCTTCACTGTTTGAGTAGTTTTGAGAAAACTATTGCTTGTGCAACTCTAAAAGCTTTTGAGAGGATTTTGAAAGGTTAGCAAGGTTTTGAAGAACAACTACTAATTTGACATTAAATGGAAAAGCGGGTAACTAAAAAGTTAACCAGTAAAAGGAAAGAGCTGAACGTGTGCAGTGCATGCACGTCCCAGTAAAACTCATCTGTGATGTGCAGTGCTGGTTCTAAAAAAGCTCAAACTATTTTAACATAAAATGGCGACACATGCCACGATGGTTGTAGCTTATTGTAGTTTAAGTAGTATTCATTGTCAACGTACAAAATATGTCTTTTTACCATTCAGCACACAAACCTTACCTCCATCATTTCCAGTTTTTCAGGGTAAGCCAGATCACCTGGAGCTGGGTTGTAACCTACGATATCAGTCTGAATGTAAATGTGAGTCCTGTAGACCAGCCTCTCCTGAACATCCTCCAGCATCTGCTTCACCACGGCATCAAAGGCACCCAACTGAGCAGCTGCGTGAAAGCACATCAAGGGTCAGCCCCACCAGAATCAAAATCACAACAAGAGTTCACTTTTTGTGAATAAATCTAACTTTAAAAGATCTGAGCACTCTTCACATATGCGCTCAGAGAACATGAGCATAGTCTAAACACTTAAAGATAAAATTTTAACAAGGCATCAAACGCTCTGCTAAACACTGGATCGTATGATAATGTAAACATGCAGGTGCTTCACAGAGATCTACAACTTAACATACAACAGGACATTATTGTATTTGTCCCTTTAAAATGATCCAGATGACATGATTTAACCTTTTTTGTTGTTATCTACCTGGATGATTGGGCTTACAAACCTTTTGTCCCCTTTAAATTATATTTCAGTCCGATCCTATAATAAATCTAATTATTGTGTTTGTTCTAATTGTAAAAACACCACATTTCTACCCATGAAAGGAATTTACTTTCCAAACGAGTACAAACCATCTGTTGTGTATTTCTGCCTTTGTCTTCTCTTATTGAAATGTGTGCATTGGATAGATGTCCAAGTACTTTATAGATTTATATAAAGAAGATTGCACCATTATGGCATAATTAATGCTATTTTCTGAATCTGAACAAAAACACTTGCATTGCAACTTCAGTCATGCTATTGCTCATTGAACATGTTTGATGTACGTGAAAAGTATTTGTCATAGTCGTTTCTTTCTCGTTTTTTCCCTTTGCGCTATTTTTGGCAAATTTATTTTAATTAAGCAAATGTATTTTTTTAATCTGTCAGATTTGTTTACGAGTGTTAGCTCTGTTTGGCAGCATGATGTTTTCTTTAGAGAGCCGAAAAGACACGTTTTTTTATGTTCCTGAATTAAGTAACAAAAATGGTCATGCTAATTCAATCATTTGTATGCGTATAAATATATGAGAAGAAGCATACAATTAAACGGTTACAAATAATTTGACTTATTTAAACTTCTCCCAAAATTCTGTAAATGTGACATCTTTAATAATTAGACAAGCTGCTGGATTTGAACTCTGGTGCTACAAGTACAATGACAGCTGATAAAGGTTTTAAAACAGACACACCTATTTACTATTTATTTTTTGAAACACCCCCCCCCCCCCACACACACACACACACACACACGCACCCACACACAAAACATGTTAGAGGAAATGAGTGTAAAGCCATTAAAGCCAACTACACTGGCAGAGCTTTCAGAAAAAGAAAACAGCTGCAGGCACAATATTAGTAATTGCAGCAACATTATGAGCAAACTAGGTAAAATTACAGCCCACATACATTTTACATTCTTGTTTGGAAAGAGCTTTTTGTTTGAGAAAAGTAGTTTAACATGCAAATGTTGAGTACCAAGTGAACAAAACAGCTGTTATGGTCTCATACCAGCAAATATATCGGGACATTTCAGAGGAGATGCAAATCGGATGACGATTAAAGCTACAGTAAAAGCAATAACTTTTTTTTCTTCTTCTTCTTTCGGCTGCTCCCTTCTTCAGGTCGCCACAGTGAACTAACTCGCATTAAGACATGGCATTTATTTTTACATAGAACGCCCTTCCTGACACAAACGCAGAACATCGAGCTACAACAGCTGTGTGGAGCAGAGAGCTGCTGTCTAGGACGCCCGGGGGAGAAGATGATGGGGGTTAAGGGCCTTGCTCAGGGGCCCAGAGTGGAGCAAGTGATGTTGGGAGACAGGTGTGGATGCTTCACCTTTCCCACCCACATTTTGATGTTGTCGGTTCGGGGTATCGAACCAGCGACCTTCTGATCACAGGCTTCCCTTCTCTAGCTTCTGCGTCACCCCCCCCCCCCCCCCCCCCCGGCAGTAAAAGCAGTAACAAACTGCAAAATATTCCACTAAAGGCTATGTGTTGATCTGACTTCACTCAAATAACATTTTTGAACATAATGGGAGTTTCTATAAGCAGCGACTAAATGTAAAAAATGTTTTACTGACTACACGTTTTTTTATATATATTTTCTTCATATAATTTTAATATTAAAAGTCATTTCTCTTTATTAAAATACTGTAGAGTTGAATGCAGGAAGAACAACAAAAATATATATCACTGACTAGTGAGCACATTTATGTAGATGACTGTATTTTTGATTAACGAGCATTACTATAATAAGGATGAAGAAAAAGGATTTTGTTGGAAAATTTTATAAAATCGTTTTTTGGAAAAAAAAATAAATAAATAAAAACTACCGGTACAAAAGAAACAAATAAATTTGTGCCATCCTAAATTTTCTCGACTATTCTTAGAAAAGACCAATTAAATACATTTGGTAAAATTTGAAGAAAAAATAAAATAAATAAACACTCCAATTAATTTTGAACTTTAAAATAACTTTCTGGTTACATTTTTACAAAAAAAAAAAAAAAATGTATTCAAGAATTCAAGGTTCTTTATTTGTACCACATGTGGTGGAATGAAATTGTGTACACAGGGTCCCAGTTACATCCAAAAAAGTATTAAAATGTAAACGAAAAACAGTAATAAGATCTAAGATATGAACTAAGAAAAACATTAACTAAAAATATGCTAGTACAAAAACAATACGCCGAACAGCAGCATGAACATGAGCTTGTGTGAGCAGATGAGCACGCATGAACACAACATGAAACAGCAGCAGCAGCAGCAACATGGTGTGATTTTTCACAGTGATTATTCTGATTAGAGATTCATGAGTCTAACAGCCTCAGCTGTTCCTCAGTCTAGTGGTTCTACACTTAATGCTCCTCAACCTCCTTCCTGAGGGGAGCGGGGCAGAAAGTGTGTGTGCTGGGTGAGTGGGGTCCTTCATGATGCAGGTGGCCCTCTTCCTGCATCTAGAAGACTAAATGTCTGATGGTGGGGAGGCTGACTCCAACAGTCTTCTGCGCAGCCTTCACCACTCTCTGATATATATAT